TGATGCCAAGACCTGGATATTTGAACCCCTGTTCCCTCTCTGATGTAAAGCAACAGCTGTAACCAGTGATTGCCCAAAGAAGTTTCCAGTTCATCAGAAAGCAAAAATAACGGACACGTCAGAAAATGATCAATAAAAGCGTCATACATATAGTGCATCCTGCACTAGATCAATCAAAAATGATGGAGATAGTCAAAAAAATTGGTCATAGTTATAATTAAGGCATAAAATGTCAAATAAATGTCATAGTATAGTAAGGCATAAAAATGTCAAAAAAATGTCAGTAGATATAGATAAGGCATGAAAATAGTCAAGAGAATGTCATAGTTATAGTTAAGGCATAAAAAAATGTATGTCATAAAATGTCATAGTATAATAAGACATCAAATTTCATAGTATAGTAAGCCATAAAATGTCAAAAAATGTCATACTATAGTAAGACATAAAAAATGTCAAAAAACGTCATAGTGTAGTAAGGCAAAAAAAAAGTAAAAAAACTTCATAGTATAGTAAGGCGAAAAAAAATGTCAAAAAACATCATAGTATAGTACGGCATATAAATATCGTAAAATGTCATAGTATAATAAGGCATCAAATTTCATAGTATAGTATGGCATAAAAAAGGAATTTCAAGAAACCGCAAACTACACAGAGACGTGTGCCAAGACCTGGATTTGGACCTCTGTCCTTCTGATCGTAAAGCAACAGCTTTAACCAGTGCACCAAAGAAGTTTCCAGTTCGCAGATGCATTAAAACTGTTAAGAAAACGTCATACTATAGTAAGGCATATAAATTAAAAAAAAAGGCATAGTATAGTAAGGCAAAAAAATGTCAAAAAACGACATAGTATAGTAAGGCCAAAAAATGTCAAAAAATGAAATAGTATAGCAAGGCAAAAAAAATGTCAAAAATGTCATAGTACTGTAAGGCATAAAAATGTCATAAAACGTCATAGTATAATAAGGCATAAAATGTCACACTATAGTAAGGCATAAAAAAATTTCATACTATAGTAAGGCATAAAAAATGTCAAAAGATGTCATACTATAGTAAGGCATCAAATTTCATAGTATAGTAA